TAAACTTCAAAACCTAGGTTGCTTAGATGATCTATTCTCTATATGATATTGTCATAACAATCTCTCTTGTTTTGATTTTTAACAAATACACATGCTAAAAGAAATAGTCATAAAAAGATTTTTGAAACCTATGAATTAGAGAATGAATATTTATGTAATAGGTATCAATATAAATGTAAGTAAAGAAATGCTAAACAAATGTTTCTAGCTTTGCTTGTCCGAAAGTCACTCAATTCTGAGTTGTTCTTCTTCTCCTCTAGCTTCCTTCCTTGGTAGAAAGACCTTCTAAGCTTGAGGCACTATACACATATCACACTTACACCGAAATTCACCTTTAACCACATCAATTCATCTTCATTCGCTGCACTTTGAAATTTTGCTTCTAGAATTGAAGTTCAGACTTAAGGAGGCTTCCATCAACATTTTAAGGTATTTAAGCATATAATTAAGTTATAATTGAGTATGATTTAAGTTTTTAGTGAATGAAGAGAATAAAATAATAGGAATAGAAGTGAACAAATCCATTAACTAAAGTAATGGGTACTTTATTAATTAATAAAAGTCATTACAAAAAACATAATGATAAAAATAAAAAGATAATACAATAAAATTTAACAGAGCCTGGCGGTCCCAAGTTACAGCATAGATAATTCATGTCTTCCTCGAGGTGTCCAACTTGAGCATGAATGTTGTCAAACCTGTTTCCAACAAATGCCCAAAGATCACGAATATTGTTCATAATTTTTGTTAGCATAATATAAGAAGTATCTTGTCGAGGGGGAGATGATGGGTAGTCATCATGAATTGATTGAGCATAATCTCGTTTGTGAACCCAATGTCCATCTGTGTTTTCAATAAAACCAAATGAATTGATAACATTAACATTAATTTTGAAAGACCTTTTAACTAGTACATAAGGCTCATCATCTAGAGGAACTTCAAAGTGCTCCATAAATATGGTAATGAATTGTGGATATATAGAGGAACATTGTCCCTTAAGGCCTTCTTCATTTTGTGTCTAATGAGATTAGCCCAGTTAATCTCCCTTGATGTGAAAAGTGTCCACATTAAAATTAGATCTTCTTTTGTTGTCGGTGCAAAGTTAGTTGTATGAATAACCAAAATACAACATATAATATATGGATTATTCTACTATCAACATTCATCAACCCAACAAGTATTCTACTCGTAATGGTTGCATTCAGGTTACAAATCATTACCCTAACATCTACAATAGAGTAATCATCTATCCACTCATCAAGCATATTTCCTTCGAAAGAGACTCCTATAGAATGTGTGTTTGTTAGAGAATAAAATAGTTGTGGAGTTATTGTCATTCTGACTTTTTTGACCACAATATGAATTACTCCATCATTAGAAATGTGTAGTACATGTTACAAGCAGACCATCAATATTCAAAAGAAACTACTAATGTTATTCGAAAAAATCAACAACAATCAACATTTTGTCATGTTCATCGCTATGATCGAGAAAATTTTGAATTAGACATTCAAGAAATCTCAACCCCTACCAATATTGCCCACATCCAATTTTGTATAACGTTAGGCTAAATGAATATTGGTGTGATTGTAGTCACTTCCAAGCTATTCGTCTCCCATGTCATCATGTCATTTCCATTTATGCATATTCAAATATACCACTAACCCAATATATCGATCTGATTCACTCTTCACAATATTTATGAGGCATATGAAGTATAATTTCATTCCTCCAAAATGAAGATTATTGATCTACGTATATTGGTCCAAACTTTATACCAAATCCTTAAATGTGACGTAAGGCATCGGGAAGACCAACCACTACTAGAATCCATAATGAGATGGATCAACTAACTTCGGATAAGCCCAAAAAATGTTTTTATTGTCGCAACGAAGGTCATCATAGGAGAACATGTCCATATTGTCAATAATTCTTACATCTTTGTATTTATCATTTTTTAATATTAATAAATTACACTTCTACCTTATGTTGTATCTTGTTTTCTATTTTATACACTTTATCCAAATTATGATGAGTGTAAAGAAAACATCACAAGTTTTCTTTGGCCAAATCCCTTTGGTAATCGATTACCGACTCCCGTAATCGATTACTTTCATGTGTTTTACCCATTTTTGCCCTTGATAATCGAGTACAATATTAATCAATTACAAAGGTCTGTAATTCGAATTACATCCATTGGTAATCAATTACAATAATATTTTAATCTGTTACCATAAAGCTGAAAAGAAGAAGTTTTGATGATGTCTAAAAGTCAAGTCTCAAGTGCTTTTCTTGCAAAAATATTTTCATGAAAACTTGTCTTGTGTTAAAGCTTTTGTAATTTAGTAGATTTATGTATGAGATGTTGTTTATCTTTGATTCTATGTATTGTTTGCCTTAAGTTGCGTTAAAATTTGTTTTGAATTAGAAAACCTCAATCGATTATCAAATTATAATAATTGATTATCATTAATCAATTGACTTGCCATAATTGATTATCACGAGCAACCATAAGAATTTTTAAGCAAGTTTTTGACCGTTATCCATTCATTAAATGAATAATCAATCACCACAAGTGGATAATTGATTATTACACGTTAATTAGCTGACAACGGATTTTTGGAGGTATCCTTATTGAGATCTCTATAAATTGGATTAAGACTCTTATCCTAAAATACGAAATACGATAATACAAAATGAGTGTATTTCAGAAATTCTTATCTGCAGTGTGCGATGATAAGTGTTCTAGGGTTTGCGTAACCCTTGTGTTGTGGCTTTGTGAACTTGGCGTGTTGGCATAGAGTAAGAACTTTCACTAGGAGTGTGATTGAGTGTTGTTGTTGTTGAGTGGAAAGTCTATCATCCTTTATGAAGATTCAAAGGAGTGTTCATCCTTTGTGAAGATTCAAAGGAGTGTTCATCCTTTGTAAAGATTAAAAGGAGGTGGTCATCCTTCATGAAGCATTTGGAGGAGGTGTTAATCCCTTGTGGGTTGTAGGGAAAGTGAGTTTCATATCTTAAGGTAACAAGAGAGGTGTTCTAACCTTCAACTTGTTTATTTTCTTTGTGATTGTAACAGTTTGTTGGTTTGTGCTAGTGAAACGTTAATTCTCGATTGAGATTAACAACTGGATGTGTGATCCGAACCAGGATAAAAATTACATTTGCTATTTTCTCTCTTCCTTACTCTTTTAATTTGTTTAAATTGTTTTAAGGAATTTTTATTTACGTGAGAAAATTATTAAAAAATCGATTTGCGATAAGAAACCAATTCATTCCCCTGTTGGTTTGTTGAACGCGTTAAACATTACGCTGCGCCGCTATGACATAATTGATTATTAGTAAAGTCATGCTCCCCTAAACGATTTCAAGAATGAATAATCAATTATAACTTATTGTAATCAATTACCATAATTAGAAAATGTACGGATGACTTTAGTTTTTTACCGTGTGTCAGAATTAAAGTCGTAAACTTTATTTTGAATTAAAGTCGTATACTTCCTAACGTCTTCATTTATGTGGAAGTGATACAATTTACTCATCCATAATTTTAAAACTTTTTATCTGTACATGTAATGTTCAAAGCGTTTTTGGCTAAAACGTAAAAAATAAAAAATATTAATTTTGGGGTTGATAGTTGTTTAAACAATGGGAAATGATATTTTGACAACAATATTTGACAACATTTTGACACGGGCCACGTGTCAAAATGTGAGTGGTGCATGTGGAAAATAATATTAAAAGCTCAGAATGACGTGACAATATAATTGGGGTAGGGTTTTTTACATTTGGGTTCATTTTCTCATTTCAGATTTCGAATCTGAGGAAGCTTCGAGAGAGAACCGAGAATGCGAAACCTAGAGAGAGAGTCTCCTCTTCCCTCCACTCAGCCACTCATTCCTGTCGGAGTGTCGTCATAGTGTTGCTGTGCCAAAGGCGAAACCTAAAAAGTCTCCTCCTCCCTCCACCTAGCCACCCATTGTCGCCGGAGTCCCACCGTTCGTAAGCGAAACCTACAGAGTCTTGTCTTCCCTCCACCCACCACCCATTGCACTCCGACAACACTCCGGCGACAATGAGTGGGTGGGAGGAAGCTCTAGGTTTCGTGTATGGGTGGGTGGGTGGATGGGTGGGTGGAGAGAAGAGGAGACTCTGTAGGTTTTGCTTACGAACGGTGGGACTCTGGAGGCAATAGGTGGCTGGGTGGAGGGAAGAGGGAACAAGAGACTCTCTAGGTTTCGTCTTTGACACGTCGACACTACGGCGGCGCTCCGACGGCAATGAGTGGCTTAGTGGAAGGAAGAGGAGACTCTCTCTCTAGATTTCGCGCTCTCGGTTCTCTCTCGAAACTTCCTTAGATTCGAAATCTTAAAAGAGAAAATGAATCCAAATGTAAAAAACCTTGACCTAATTCTATTGTCATGTCATTCTCAGCTTTTTAAATTATTTTCCACGTGAACCACTCACATTTTGACACGTGGCCCGTGTCAAAATGTTGTCAAATGCTGTTGTCAAAATATCATTCCCCTTAAACAATGGTAAACTTCTAGAAGTTTTCTTTAAGGTCTGAACACATTTTAAAGTTAATAATACTGTTTGATTTAGAAACGGAACAGTTGCTTCAAAAGAAACGGAACAGGTTATTGGCAAGGTTCCCACGTGATTCTTCAACGGGCAGGGAAGACGCAGCCCAAAAGGACGAATTCATCAACCTACAGCCAAGTAAAAACAAAACAAAAAAACTGAAAATTTTGAAAATGTCAGTGTTTCCACATCAAACGGCGCCGTTGTGAAAAGTCCGACGCTGATTGTTATTCGCGAGTGTCAACGTTGTTTGCAGTCTACTGCCTTCAACGGAAAAGTAAAGGACGCTCACGTCTCTTTTTCCATCAACTAATTTCCTATTTATTTATTTATTATCTTATTAATTATATAATTATAATACTAGTTTACTTTCTATTAATCTTTTTCAATTATTTATCATACAGCTACTCACACCGCCATCGTCGCCTTTACTTTACCATTTCATCATTGATCTGCTTTGATTCTTCGTCTTCAAGCTTCAACCTCAGCAGACGAAAGTCATCTAAAATCCCAAATAAAAAAAAGTGAGATTGTTTTCATTAGATAGTATATTAAAAGAAAAAATGAGTTCGATTCATTATTTGATAAACACTCTTGCAGCTCCGCTTCGTTCTTTTTCTCCTCCCTCCCTTTTTCCGCAATGCCATTATCCTATCCGTTCCTCTGCTGTACCGAAACGGCGTCGTTCGTCTCACTCGTCTGGGTTTCGCCTTGCCTCAAGTCCAACCGTGAATTCGGTTCCCGTAAGTCTTCTTCTCTTCGGATCAAGCGTCATTTTTACGCTACCGTGTTCCTTAACTATTTTTCTTTTGCGGGTTGCGTTTTTTACCTTCTCAGCGTGAGAATGGAACCTATACCGTTGCTGATTTCATGACAAAGAAGCAAGATTTGCATGTTGTGAAAACCACCACCACTGTTGATGAAGGTAATTCAATGTTGTGTGAAGTTTTATTATGTGATTTACTGTATTTATTTATATGTTATTTTTCCTTGGATTATAGCTCTGGAGGCTCTGGTAAACAACAGAATAAGCGGTCTTCCGGTAATTGATGATAACTGGAATTTGGTAATTTTCTTGTCCCCTTCACTTTTTTTTTTGCTCTGTTGAGTAAATTAATGCTTAAAAACTTAAACACACTTGGGTTTCTATTTTGGACTGGATTCAATTCCTCCTTGAACTTTTTCTACCTCTTTTGACGCTGCAGGTCGGAGTTGTTTCAGATTATGATTTATTAGCTATTGATTCGATATCAGGTACTATGGATATCAAAGATCCAGAATTGGAAAATGTTATGTTGTACTACCTTTGATTTACATTTAGAGTGGCGAAATTTCTGTTTACTACAAAGCCAAATCAATGTTCGTATAAGTTGAATGGCTGATGGGAGTGATTATACTTCATATTTTTTTCAAAGTTTGTGCGTTGTAACTGACCTATGGGTGTGAAATTGAAGATCTTGTATGCTTGTATATGCTATAGTCAAAGAGTTGGTAATTTCTGTTTTGGTTGGTGAGTAACGAGGCTAATGGGACTCCCTCTATTTCAAATTATCTGTAGATTTGGGAGTTTGTATTTCTAAATTGTCTAACTTCATAAAATCAAGAGAGTATTAATTTTTTCTCAAACTCCTCCCTCACTTGTTGGTAACCTATCTAACTATTCAATGTATTTAACTAAGAGTGTTATTAGTAGTAAGTTAGTAACTCACTTTCTAATACACTTCTAACATATTACCTAGTGTTGGTTAAGATTTATACTACAAAATAAGAAGTGGGGTTACAAAAATTTGTAATTGCCATAGAATTTCAGCAGATAGTAAATTCTGTTGCTAGCATTTCTCTTTAATTAGTTCACAACTATGCTCTGACATTTTTGGAAGGGTATTTTAGTCAAAGAAGACTTTTTATCATGGTAATTGGTGCAGTGATGAACAACTCTTATGATGTGTGCAATAGCATAAATGACAAATATTTTGAAATGAAGAGAGTATTTAATTTTTTTTCCAAGTCTGAAACACAGCAATACTGGAATCCCATTGTTGTGCTTACTTTTTTTGAATAAGTTCTCTGCATGCTGCTGCCAAGATTTTGCTAATCATTATGCCTGGGTTTTAGGAGGTCCTCAGAGTGATGCAAACCTGTTCCCCAACGTCGATAGTTCTTGGAAAGTAAGTGTAACCTTTTTCTGTTCTACTTCTTAAGCGTGATTTTCTGTTAGCATCTACCATGCTACGTTATGAATTCTGATTATATGGAATAGATTTATCATTTATAGATGATTGCATATAACTCCTCTGAAACTCATGCCAAATGATGCTATTAGATGCTAATGTGGTAATGATGAGTGATGATATTCAAAAACTAATGTTTGGACATAGTTTTTAATGCAATAATATAGTTTTTAAGGCAATAATTAATAATTCACCAGCCCAGCCCACAATCAGTTACAAATGCTGAGCCCACTTTTCATTTGACAACATTTTGGTTGGATAAATATAAGAAAGACATTTGGATCATTGAATACTTGATAACAAACCTCTGTTTACTATTCCTTTTTTATAGAGCAGCTTATATCTGATTCATATATTTTGTTCATAGACTGGGTGTGTTTTGCAAGTTTGAATTTTCATGTCCCATCAATATTCATGGGTAGAATAGTCCTCATATCCTTTTACCTTGTCAAAATTGTATTGCCTGTTTCTTGATGTACAACTGGATCATATTTCTGAAAACGTGTAAGATTTTAAGGGGAAACAAATAATATTGATGTTCCATGGTTACTACTTTTAACCAACGCACTTCCTTGTGCCTCAGTTTATAGAATAGAAGAAAAAATTTGTGAGGTATAATCATGGTTATCAAAATCGCATGTCAACTCGTAAACTTGTCCGTGTTTATGTTCTCACACCCCTATAAACACCCATAAACCGATTTAACTCATGTAGAATCGTTTTTTGATAGGCTCGTGTAAACTAGAGCAAAATTGGTTAAACTCACTTGAAATCAGAGTTTAGAGGCGATTCAGCGAGCTCAATTGGACATTAGAAATTAGCTAGAAATGGTTTGTTTCTAGGTCAATATATATGCAAAGCGCATCTAGGGAATGATTTCATGGTTCATTGGCTCTCTCTTACAACAATCTGCATTGGGTGTTGATGTTGATTCGCCTATTGCACCAACTAATATCTCCTTATGTCTTCTCCACACTACTCCATCTTTGTGTTTTTGTTTTTGATTCTCCTCCACGCTTTGCCATATCTCACTATTTTCAGTTTTCTCTCCACCTCAGTTTTAGGGGACGGCACAACATGTTAGGGTTTTAACTTTCTGTTTTAATCACCTCTTATTATTTTGGACCATTGGGCCTCCCTTTTACCATGCTGAACTTTTGGGCCAACATTTTAGTTCAACAACTTTTTTTTATGAGAAGTATAAACTATAATCAATTAAAATTATGATAAAACAATAATAATATTAGAGAAAAATATTTAAAAATATATAATATGATAAACTAATAATTATAATACTGTAAAGAATAAAAAAAAAAATTATTTATAACATTATAAATATTAAATTATTATGTTATTTATAAATATTTTAAAATGTTTTATATGAAGTAAACTCTATAAGAGTTTACAATTCTGAGTTTAGGAAGCTCCCACGAGTTTACGTGAAGTGTTGAGTTTGACAACCTTGGGTATAATGTGTTTTTACATACCTGTGTGTCCACATTTCTTATGCCAGAGTCAACCTTGAAGCAGCTATGATCCACTTATGCATTAATGCCTTTCTATATATTAGGGTTGCCTATTTTTCTTCAAAGGGTTCTGTTCTTTTCCCTGGGGATAACAGAGGAGGAGGATTGAGGTAGTTGAGAAATAACTGACTGATTGAGCGATTATAACAATGTTCATAGAAGCCTAGAAGGGGAACATGAGGAGAGAAAATAAGCAAAGGGATTGATTTTCTGTATCAGTCCAATCTGAAGAAAATAATAGACCAGAAAGAGTTAGCGCACAATTACTTGTAAGAAAGAAGGAAGGTGTGGCAACAACAACTGAAAACTGAGAGATAAGCAGTTAAATGATTGCATAACAAGTGATATCTGGAAATTGGGAGAATAGGGAGAGAAAGGGGTCCTTTCCTTGTAGTGGAGAGGTAGGGGAGGAGGTCAGGTAGTGGTTGACTGGCTTTTTCCTTGGTGTAGGTTTGCTTCTTCATATTAGGCATTCATGTTTACGTCAGTCTGTACTGACTTTTCTTGCATTTTATAGTAAACTAAAATATAGTTTATCTTCTTCATCCCTATGCTGATACCCTCGGTTTCTGTTTTATTAGCACTCGTCTTTTGTTCCACTTGAAAAGGACAGTTCCCTTTATAGTTTATTCTTTGATTGGTTTGCAAGATGGTCGTATAAATTTTTTAGTGAATCCGTGCACATGAAACTCAAACCATTCACGATGTTGGGTGTCACTGTAATAATATTCTTCCATACGATAAAGGATTATGTTCAGGTTGAGCCATGATTCTTAATTGGACTTTTGCTTTCTTTTCTTCACTTGCCCTCAAAGAGAAAGGGGAATTGTAATTGTTTAGCAAGAGCTCTTATTCTATTGAATGACAACCCTTCTGTAACTCTAATTATTGTTTTGCATGGCAGACTTTCAATGAGTTACAAAAGCTGCTTAGTAAGACTAATGGCCAAGTTGTTGGTGACTTGATGACTCCAACTCCACTTGTTGTCCATGAATCGACAAGTCTGGAGGAAGCTGCGAGGTACTGACTTTTCATACATATCCAATAATGTTGAATTTTCTGATTCTTTTGCATGTAACACCGTAATTTGGAACAATGTACGAGGACAATAAAATCACTGACGATTTATTGCTATTAGTGCCACCATTTATGTTAAATATTTTTATGATAGTTAAATTATTAAATTCTGATTGATCAACTGATACTCGACACCATTACTTGTATAGGCTGTTGCTTGAAACAAAATATCGCAGACTACCTGTGGTCGACGATGATGGAAAGCTGGTAGAATATATATTCTCTCTTGCAAGATTAATTTTTGTGCTTCTTCCACAGGTGACTCCTGCTAATTTGATTTTTCTGTGTTCTTTCTAGGTTGGACTTATTACAAGGGGAAATATTGTTAAGGCAGCTCTGCTATCAAAACGCGCGGGAGAGTGGTGATAGTGTTTTTTGAGAAAAACGTCATTGGAATAGCTTTGCTTGCTGGTTGTGCCGGTGAGAGTACGTATAATGTTAAGTATAGTGTCGTGTATAGTGAGTGTTATGAATATATGACGGGCAAAAAGAGAAGCTGAAATAAACTTTTGACGGCCTTGTGAGATCTTAGTAGTGTGGGTAACAAACAAGATAGAATGAAGTGATTTATCGATCACCTTTATTAGGTTATCGACATTGTTTCGTGCATTGATTATTACGAGCATGGAGATACATCCTCTTTATTAGTCTGTTAGGCTGGAACTGATAATTTAGAGCCCTGTATTATAAATTTATATTGTAAATTGCTGAGGATTTTAATTTGTATGTTATTTTGCTCTGGTCGCTTTCCTATATTGGATCATTCACGAAGTTCTCGAGTCTCCATATCTACCAGTTTATTGTCGTATTAAATATCTCTAGACCGGGTCAACATCTGATCACATGTATTCTTTTATGGAGTGAAATACATTCCCGTTGTTAAAAGATACGAATTAAATTTTTTACAAAAAATATATGAACGTTCTATAAATGATATTGGAAAGAATTTTTGTGATATGTAACTTCCTGCAATCTTCTTTTGTTGATTGATTAGTTCTTTTGGTAGTAACTTTGTCAAAACATCTGTATATTTTTTTTCCCTTGTACGTGGTTATATATTTTGTCATCTAACATAAAAGGATGTCCGAAAATAAAATGAGTGAAAGTTTTCGTCCTTGAGAAATGTATGCATTAGTATAAGTTATTCTAGTGAGGGTTAGCAAGTGAGTCTTTATATTTTGAAAATGTTGGTAATGATAATAATGTTGTAAGTAATCAATAAAGACGTTTTTTAAAATATATGTTCAGTTGAGACTGAAGTTGCCACATCTGCATTAACTTCCCCAACATTTAAGAATAAGATCTCAACTTTGGTCCATCAACTATAAACCAATGAGGTGCAAATATGCTTTTTCTTTAAAAAAAATACATGAAACTTGTCTTAGTTAACTATTTTGGTTTCAAAAAATATAAATTTATTTTTTGTTTGATCTGAAGTTGAGTATTATTGTTCTTTTAAACTTTATTTTAGTAGTAATATCAACTGCGATGTCATATTTTAGTCCATTTTCATTTTTATACTTTACTTTCAATTTATGCTTTGACATAAAGTTTGCACTATAATTTAACAAATCAAATATAAGTAAATTACTTAAAATTATATTGATATGACTTGTCAAAAAAAGAACAAAAGAAAAAATTATATTATGATTTAGAGGAATTCAACTACTTTAAAACTTCTTTCAATTATTTAAGTGTCGATAATCTATATTTTTTTAATAATGAAAATACAACTGATTTCATTTTTTTTTTAATGTTTTCAATCAGAGAACAATACCTGTAACTTATTAGAGGAAAAGATATTGACATTTACTTGGAAAGGTAAGCATGAATTAATAGGGTTATTAACCAAAGACTGGTCTACTAGAAACAAATTTTCGACATTTTTTCTTTCGTTCACATTTTCAAGACAAATAATACTTTATTATTTATTTTATATGTTTCTATTCACTATAAAACATTATCAAATTATAAACTAATTATATTGAATCACTACTAAAGACGTGGACATAAAATATTGTTTTAACTTATGACAAGAGAGATCTATCTACACTAAATTTGGATGTCCTATTTTTAATCTAATATATATATATATATATATATATATATATATATATATATATACATATATATATATATATATATATATATATATATATATATATATATATATATATATATATATA